AGATTTTATTTATTTCATACATAAAGGGTCTGTCTACCCGATAAAACAAATAAATTCCGTGCCGAGCAACAGAAACACGACATGACGCAAGATGCTTCACTTGAAAACAATACCGTATACAATAACATTGTTTGGAGAAATGCACTTACTGTTTTGTAAATTCCAATTCTGATCTGGGAAATGCACCAAAGCAACTGAGAAAAACTGTAATAAGTGTCTGGAGACTCTTACAAAGGATGTGAAACACAAACAGGAAATGAATTCGGACCTCCCAGCATATGTCAGCCGAGACGAGGGGCCTATAGGGGTAAACGTACATTAATATGATAGGTATTTATATTACAACATAGCCTTTAATAGTTGTTTCCACAATGGAAACAATTTGCATAATTTCAACCGTAATAGCAGAGACAGAAAATACAAAAATGGCATGAAGGGGAGAAACCATTTGTACAAACACAATGCACAAAATAGAAACATAAGATATTGTTGGTGCTGAAACTATCTCATCCAATCTATCAGCGATGTTATTTTTTTGTTTGCAAAAAATAAAAATAAAAAAAAGAGTGCAGAATTTCAAATTTGACTTATGAGATCTTATTAATGTAATAAACTTGCTTTCTTTACTGTGGTTGTGAACAGAATTGGTAAAGGCAAATAGACAGATATTTCTGACCATGGAATGTTGGAACACTCATACATGTTCAGTCAGGCTGCAAATGCATCCACCATTTAAAGCTTGATGCAATAAACACATTACCACAAACATTGGAGCCATCATTTAGCAATGATGATGGTTATACCGTAATGATTATGTTGTGCAACTGAACCATATGCATTATTTTATTTTATCCTATTACATAATATACTGCAATCACTGTCCGCTGGTAAATTTCTTGACAAAATGTAGAAAATATGGAAATTCAGACAAGATGTTGTGGAAGTGAATTTATATAGGCTGGCAGCTCGGCTAATCACAGTCGTGTGTGCACTTCAGCGAACTGCAGTGGGGCCAATAAACAAGTGAATGGTAAGAGATGAATGCAAAGCTCAAATCTGAGGTGGCAATGATTCATTCAGTGATTACACTGACAGGTAATTGCCTTGGTTTAAAAAAAAAAGTCAAACGTAAACAAACTCCAGGCATCGTATGTCGAGATGATGGATGGACGGACGGTTAACGGATAGATAGATAGATAGATAGATAGATAGATAGATATCAATAAATCATCCTCTCCCCTCCCCCCGCAATAAAATGGAATCACCCTCACTGATGTTATGATCATTATCTTCTCTTTCTTAGGGGCACCTTGGCCCTTGGCAGACACCCACTCGGGCAAAGTGAGCATTCAGAACCTTGGACAGTTCCGCACTAAACTGCCTGTGCGTCAGCTTCTGTGTCATTCTTTGAAAAAAACAGATGATTTCGATTGAAAGCAATGCAGGCTAAACGCCTTGGTGGCTGCTGTGTCATTTGTGAGCTGCACCATTTCTTGTGAACAAAATGTTAACTCGCCCCTAAAAAGCAGAGCGTCTACAGAAACACACATACCGCCTCTGATAACAAGTGTGGCTGCAGCGTGATGCTTCCATCAATTGTAAACATGTACGCATTTTAGATAATTTTGAAGACCACATGCACCAAAACCAAATGTGGTTCGACCTCTCTGCTGCTGCTGCTGCTGCTGCTGCTCGTTGTCAAAAAAGAAAAAAAATGCAACAACCAATTACATAACGGCACAGAGGGGCGCTCGCATTGAGATTCCTGTCCTCTACACGAAAAATCCATCTCAGAGATATAACAGTCAGTTATTTCCAATTAACAACAGTTGTGTGCTTTTCGTTTGAGTGTTCTTGTTTTTCCATATGGTGCATGGAAAGGGGAGAAATTGTATCAGTGTATAAGTGTCCATCTTTTCCAGACATGGCCACCATCTCCACCTACTACAATAACATGGCAACAACCTTTGAGGACGCCACTGTTCCCATATACCCTACATGCAGGGAACCCCCCCCCCCCCGCCCCCCACACACACACCGAATCGCTGTTGCAGCTTACTCTAGACAAAAATGCGTCATTAAACGAAACAAAACAGATTGTATTTATTTCATACATAAATGGTCTGTCTACCCGATAAAACAAATAAATTCCGTGCCGAGCAACAGAAACACGACATGACGCAAGATGCTTCACTTGAAAACAATACCGTATACAATAACGCGTGCATAATTTAGAAGCTACACAATTGCCAACGATCATGAACGGATCGCGTTGGCAAATGACGCGTGAGATTCCTGTACCCGAGCAAAACAATTATGGAAGGATGCAAGTAGCTGCGCATCGAAACAGCGCAAAACGTGGCGCACTCGCTTACCAGATACACACTGCTTGCCGAGCTGCACCGAGTCCAGCCTAGCCTTGACTGCAAATGATTCAGTATTTCCCCTTGCGGTGACAGAAGGTGACCTCCGCAAGACTCTGCAGCCTGATCACGATGCACGCAGCAAGAGGGAGCACAACAGCACCGCACAGGCGCGACGTGGGAGGATGCCCCGCGGTTTCCTTTCAATGGATCACACAAAACTGATTCCAAGACGTGGCTGACACAACAGATTATTAGTATTATGGTAATTATTATTATGATTATTATATTTACATACTATACATATTATAATACATTCAATCCCAACCTTTGTTTTAACAAAGGATCTTCTAAGTGGGGCCGATTCATTACAGTGTATATATATATATATGTGTGTGTGTGTGTGTGTGTGTGTGTGTGTGTGTGTGTATACAGTATTAATATGACCGGAGTGGATTATTCCAAATCTAGGTAGAGTGAGAGTTTCAACAGAAAGAAAGAGCCCCAATGTGATTTACACTCCCAAAACCAATCACTGAGCAGATGAGGGAAGAGGGGCGTCACTTCTGTTCTTGTCAATCAAGTACACTTGACACATAAAGCATGGGGTGGGCCGTGGGAGGGTGTGGGTGAGATGTATAGATTTATTTGAAGAGCATTCTTTGTGAAAGCATCTGGTGTGCAAACACTGCACACTTTCCAATGAAAGGATTTTTAAAGTGTCTTTGCTCTGTAAATGTTAAAGACCTCTCATAATGGGAGAGATTATATACTTTCATGATTATGGTTTCAAACAGTCATGCACATTGACCCATTCTTTTGCGATGCAGTATTAGTGATCGGGAAATGGCGCTTCATGAAGCACCTGTGATATTTTGTACTCTTCTAGATGGTGCTCCCGGTTTAAAGATAAGACTAGTGCAATACGTACCCCATTTTCAATATATTTTGAGCAGCAAGACCATATCCCCCCCCCCCCCAAGCAAAAAGCAAGTATCCATTTCGTGTGCGTCAAATTCAAACTTAAAATGGCAACAGTGATACATAATGAAAAGGAATTGTAGTTCAGGCGCTTTGCGTACCTTAACTCCTTGCAGATGGAACTCCGAGGGGTGTGCAACAGGTACCACGTGCTTGTACAATATAGCTACAAAGCATGAATGGCAGGTTAATGGAACATACTAAATTGTCCCTAGGTGTGACTGTGACTGTGAATGGTGGCTTGCTTGTCTTTGTGTGCCCCGTGTTTGGCTGGCAAGCACTTCAGGGTGTAAGCCGCCTCCTGCCCGAAAAAAGCTGGGATAGGCTACAGCATGCCCGTGACATTCGCGAGAATAAACCGGTTCAGATAATGGATAGATGGATGATTCTTGGATTTGTCTGTAAATATTAAGTTTCCAAATAGAGTTAGTATTGAATACTTTGAGTTTTACAGCTTCTGAGAGACAGGTATACACATGAAATTACAGAAATCTAATTTCTTTATTATGATGTGGTCAATAATTTCAACTGTATGGTTTTAAAATCAGTTTAAAATAACTAAATTGATATCTAATGCATAACAAATGTTATTAGACAAGATAGAATTTAGTTTGAATGTCATTTTATTACTGAAATCTACCATGAATCCACCAAACTGTTGGGATCATAATTTGAATAACCCCGATTTTTTTTGGATCACTTATCCCACTCCTTGTAAAACATTACGAAACAGATAAACTGAGGGTGGGATTAAAACCAAGATTGTATTCCATGGTCTAATGAATGTCATAATCTGCAGTTCCATTGTCCAAATATCGATCAAATTACGTTTAAACAAGTGGACCCGCTCTTAAAACTGCCAAAAAAACATGCAAACCACTCACTGTGGCACCCCCTGATGGGACAATATGAAAATGGTTTCATTAAATTAGAATTAATTCAGCAATTATTTCACAAAAGACATACAAATGTTAAACGTGTTTGTATGAAATATGTGTAATGACATACAGTATTTACAGTAAAATAATTCACCATTTATTTCATCAGATAAATAGATTTAGGAAAAACAGGTCGCTTGGTAATGAAAATACTCGGTGTGCCGCATTAAAAAAATGACGCGGGCCCAATTATGTCCAACCTTGGTCAAACTCAATCTCAACAATATCTCATTTGAGGTTTGGGTTCGAAATACTGTCCCAGTGTGAGCGAGCATATCTTATTTTGAAAGAGGAAGCACAACTGTCGCCCTCGCTACTACGACTGACTTGCCAAACAAAACCTAAGCTGCTTGCGGAAGCAACACAAATAAATCGGGGTGATTCACAGAAGGTGAGTGGGAATTGAAATTGTCTTTTTCCGAAGCCAACAACTCGCCTCGTGTAGCCAGCAAGAAAACGAACAATCGCTTTTCGGAGATGGCCGTTTACTGGGTCGAATAACTTTTAGAAGGCGTTAGCTCGCTTCGAAGCTAACCGATTTGACGCATGACAAATGCTGTGCTTTTCAATCCGGAAGTTCATTGTCCACCGTCCATTCTTAACCGCGCTGCACTGAAGACAGGTCGAGCAGGTCGGCGCCCTCAGCAGGCAGCGAGGAAGTGGTGTCTTCGTGAACGCTTGAAAGCTTCAATCACCATGAAACCTTGAATCAACTTCAAAACCATGATGCCAACTTAGTTCTTTTACAAGCAATGGCATTTATGTACCGTACTTTGCGTACTTCTATCTAAAATATCGTCATCGCGATGCCCCGTGCAATATGCGTATCACAAAGATGTGTGATAAACTGATACTTTCAAATGGAATTGTATGCATCTTTTCTGACTTTGACGGATCGGAAGCAAACTTAAATGGGCATCACCATCCAATGGAAGAACAGTATCTAGAGGCATTACTAACACTAAATAACAGCGGCGTTACAATTAATTGGATAAGAACACATTGAGTCTGCCCATTTGGCCATATGAAAAATTGTATTTCTTTCATTAAATAATACGAATGTAATTTCTTGCACTACATGTTAAATATTGCAATAATATCTATCGTGTAATGTTCAACACCCAAATGTACGCTCAAATGTGTCATGCCCTGTGTGGTTTGTCCCAAGTAGGAGGAGCCGTGCTACCCTGTGGAAGTCACATGAATGAAAAGGATGAGGCCTGATCAACTAGGAGGCAGCTTAAGGAAACAGCCGCTGCAGAGTGTGTGTCCCAGGGTGGGGGGTTTCCGTTTTCTGTAAAGCCCCCCTGTAGTCTCCCGCCCTGATTATATGCAATGAATAGTACCACTCCGTCCCCCACCATTGATGGGGACGTGGCGGTGGGCTATGTTTTGGTGCCATTCTTCCTCATCACCATCATTGGAATAGCTGTAGCAGTGGTAAGTCGGCAGATAACTTGATGTGAAAATATTTTCTATTCCAGTTGCTGTCAAACTCTAAGCCAGCTAAAACATACTTAGCTCTCCAAGTACCTCCATCATGAACAACATTAAAATACAGTAGCTTAATAGTGTTAATTAAAAAAACAAAGGTAGAACATTTAGTCCTAAAATGTAGAGAAAATATTATTCTAAGCCACTATAACATCATAATTATATCTGTTAAAACAATAACATTGATCTTAAAATAAGGAAAAGAAACAAATAATGACTCAATTAAAATGTATTGCAATTAAAATCAAAAGAATTTTAACCCTAATGTTTAAAAACAAAGGGCACCTATTACAAAGCAACTATTCATCCTCACACTCACACCTTTGCACAATTTAGAGTCTTCAACTAACCTAACATGCATGTTTTTTGGTTGCATTTATAGCACACCTGATGTGTTTTTGAAAGACATTTATGAATAACAATGTCTATTTCTGTCTTCTGTTTCAGGTCTTGTACGTTCGTAAGAAACAGAGGTAAAGATGAAGTCTCCCGCCTTGTTTACAATGGACCAGTTCGCTATGATTCATGTCTCCTCGTCATCTGCGTTTTCCTCTTTCATGTTGTTTTCGCAGACTTGACAGACTCCGCCATCAGTTGTTGCCAATCTACTCATATGACCCCTCAGAGGAGGTAAATGAAGCTGAACAAGAGATGCTGTGGCGAGAAGAGGACACCAGAGTAAGGCACACTTTTCATTTTCACTGACACCTTGGGGGGGTATTTTTGATTGATAATGCACTTGTACAAATAGATTTCTGTGTATTTTTTTTTCTGTGGTTTTCCTTGTTTGCTTCATGCTTTCTGATGCGGCCAGGCTGTTAGACTTAGTTTCTCACAACTCAGTTCCTCTTATATGAAGGGAAAACAGCTGCAACAAGTTGAGAGAAGAAATCACAAAGAATGTTTCAGGGACTTTTTTATTTGCAAGCATAATATCAAGTTATGTTCACTTTTATGAGCACATGACTATGACTTGAGCTTGGATATTATATGCTTTAAGAATCCATGTGCTAGGATTGATACCATCGAGTGACATCTATTTAAGCTATGTGAGAAGATGAAGCCAAGCATAAAGTGCATTCGTTTTGTATAGCGATTGCAGGGCTGTAGTCTAACATTTTGCACTGATGCGCCTTTTATCTTGGTTGAACAAGCACCAGTTAGGCGCACAAAAATTTTCAACTGCATTACATTCAACATCTCTGTTTTACAGGTTAAATTTTATGAAATGAAAAACACTGTATGCAACACTATGTTGACTGGTAAATGATTCACAATCTGGTCAACCAAGTTCTTAATTTTAAATCCAGTCCCGCAAGACAGGGAACTCATTGAAAAGTCTTGGTACCGAAAGTGCTACTGCAATGCAGTAACGCGACAGTAGTTATTGACACAGGTAGGGCTGGCCAGTATGGCTGTAAAGTGTTTCATGATCAAGGCTCGAATTTCTTTTTTTTTTTTTTCTTTCACAGCAGCTTTGCGTATCGGTAACATAATTTGAGGAGACATTTTCTAATTTATAGGGGTTTAAAATAAATAAAATTATGAAAATATGACAAATGAGCCATTGGTTTTCTTTTTTTATTCACGTTGTCTATAACAACAAACTATTGTCTGAGCGATTACCGGTAATTTAAAAAAAAAAAAGAAAAAGAAAAAAGAAAGAAAACCACGGCCAATCAGAGCGTCCCACCATTCACTATATCAGATTGACTGAGACAATGATGTATTTGTTGAGTGAGGCTTTGGAGGCGAGGAGAGCTTTTTCCATCTTCTATTGCCAGGTTGCACAGGATGCAACCTCAGTTTTTTTTTTTAGTGTCACCATATAAAATTAGGGTACCTCCAAGAGCCCTGGCTTGTCCTTGTTGGGGTCCCAGGTGAATTCTGGCGAGAGGTGAGGTATATACCCTGGACTGTAACTGTGAGCTAAATTAGTTGTCTAATAGCAATTGGGAAATTTTAGTGTCTACAAAATGGCTGTCAAAGTCATGTTGCAAACCCTTCCGCAGTCATTTTGTTACTTCAATGAACCCAGACCAAATCACAGCCATAAGATTCATTGTGATGCAAATAGCACTGCATATTTATTAAATTATTGACCTGCAATACTTTGGCTGTTGTCCAAGTCTTGGTCAAATGCTTCGAAACAGTAGATGGCAGTGTTTACTACACATGAGATGAAGCAGTAAAACATAGCCACTCTATTTTAATCCTTATTTGCACTCAATTGCGTATTGTGTTGTATTCAAATTAAAATCCTTGTAAAGTGAAAACAAGTACTCTGGATTTGACACATCACAGAGAAGAGATTGCTGTTAACAACCCTGGCAAACCTCTAACGCTTAAATCAACGTCAAATGAGGCTTCAAAATAATGAAAAATCAAGCTCTTGTCTCAGCTCTTGAACGCTGTGGGTGTGTCTACTGAATGAGCTGGAACTACAGCTGCCCTCGACTGTCAAATGTCATTCGAATGCCACTCATGCCAACTCATGCCTTCATGTTTGAGCCATGAAAATATATCTCATATAAGCTATATAAGCTAATGCAATGTCGATTGGATCGCTACAAACCTAGTTTTTAATCAAGCTGTTGCTTTAATAAAAGCGATGAAACAATCGGTACGAATGTGCTGCATAGATGAATGAACCCCTTGATAAATGACACGATATGATCTGCGCATGTCGCACAGCTGTAAAATGGCTGTTGTGATTTATGCAGCGGGGGCAATAAATGGCAGATCAGAATAGGTGATGTCGCATGTAGACAGCTGACCAGAGATCTGCAGTTGGAAAGATTTCAATGACCAAAAAGTCTCCATGTGAACCCGGCTGGTGTGCGGCGGGCGAAGTGACTCGCAATTGCATCGAGGAATCGCTTATGTGGAGGAAGGTGCTCAAGTTCTTATAGACTGTAGTGGGGATGGTGCAACTCATAGAGAGGTCCAAGTGCGTCACTTACACTATTTTAGCCACAGACGATAGCGAGATGTCCACTTTGAGTACTACTGTACATACAGTAGTTGTGAACATTTCAATGTGAATGTAACACTGAAACGTTCTTTTCTTTTTGTTAGGTCGTTCAAGGTTGGGCAAGAAATTATCAGCAGCGTCGCCCTCTTCTGACCAAAGATGCCTGAAGAATCCAAACCACGGCAATGCCAGAGAATACCTGCACTAACCACAAGCATCGTCCTTTGTTTGTTTTGTTGCTTTGTGGGAGAATACCCCCAAGCCCCAAATCTTCAAGTGCAAAAAGCAAGGCATAATTAATAACATATTGAAGGACGCATTCAACCTTGACCGTATTTAATGTAAAGTATTTAATCACAAGCGTTCACTGAATTTCATTGTCCAGTGTTAAAAGAGGTACACCTTCTCCGGGACAGAACACATTTACTTCAGTCTTGAATAAGTGAGCTGTTAATGAATTTACGTGAATTTCACATTCAATTTCACTCAAGGAATTTCTGGGCTCCGTTTTTGTTTTCATTTACACAGAAAACAATGACGAGCTCCGATCTGTGATCTGGATCTTCAAGTGGTTCTTGCCAAATCCTGTGAGTCGCGTGGAAGCCATGAAAACCTCAATTTGAACATAAACAAGATCCAGTGTTCTGTTTGAATGACTCCTGCTCCAAATATGTCCTGTGCGCAAGACATGGCACCAGCAAAGATACACCTCCAGCCAGCGATGAATGCCATTGTTCTGACTGTACCCACCACATTAACTTTATTGCCCTCAGCCTGTTTGAAGCCATTCTGGACTGTGATGAGCTTGTTCGTGCGGGTGCATCACGTTTTAACAGTTGGATTCATTTGAACAAGTTATGCATTGCAATGGGGAGAGAGGAAATGTGTTGCGTGTTATTTGGTTGAATTGCGACACTCTTGTTGTGTTCCTCAAAATGTTTTTAACTGTACAATCATGCCAGAGTTGCACTTGTTCCTGAGCCACTGAGTTCCACTTGAACCCGAATGGACAAACTACTGATGTAAATTTGTCTGCACTGTTATGAAGCTTCATTTTTAAGTTTACTGAAAGGAGACATTTTTGTTGTCGTGTTTGCTGAAATAAGACTGGAAGGTGACTGCATTGTCCCTGCATCACTTTCTAAGTCATGACTAGTGATTACACTGGTGGAGTGCTGACAGAAAATATACTTTTGGCCAAAACCCTGTTTTTTTAAATTGTTATTCATAAATGTAGATATTGTATTGAATGAAGTGATCCTCAAGCACCTCAGAACGTGTACTGATTAGATCTCTGACCTAAATGCCCCAGCTAGCGTGTGGCTAAGAATTGAAAATATTAGTTGAGGTTCTTGCTTGAACAGACAAATCTCCAGAAGTTTCCAGGTTGTCTGGCCGGAAAGATAAAACGTTGAACGGTGAATTTTTCAGGCTGAACCAGAAATGCACTACAATATAATTATTCCAGGCTAACTTAATTTGACCTTTAACCTTTGAATGGATGTCCAACTGTTCAATGTTTCAGTACTTTTTGCACAACTTATTGATCTCTAACAGCATTGCAAAATACTTTTTCCCCCTAGGACGTCCGTTTCTATACCTTTCTTTGACCCTTCCAGTCTCTGTATATTTGCTGTAACCCTCTGACAGCTGTAAAACTCAAATATCAGTGGCTCTCTCCTGAGAAATCCTCTTAGCTTCGCATTGGCAATATTCAGTGTCTTGGTGCCATGATGTCAAAACGTGAACAGCAGAGGATGATTTGAATACCAGTTGTAATGAAACCAGGAAAGCTCAACTTGGACAAAAAAATTGTGAAACACAGAGCAGTTGGACACGAAGAGTTAAGACCAGGTCAAATTCATTTCGCCTGTCAAGGTTTTGGTGAATTTAAGGTCCGTCCTGAAATTTCAGCCTCAAGCCAAATATTGCCAGCTAGAACAGACTTTCAAAACGAAGCATATCCCCAATTCCTGTTTTGAACAAATGAGAGAACAACGACAGAAAATTATCTTTATTGACCATTTCATCTCATACAAATTGTCGGGCACCATAGAAAATATATACATTGTACATTTATATACGGTGTCCATTAAAAAGAATGATCCCATCCTCAACAGTTTACAGTATATAAATGAACAGATGTAGATGTCAGTTTGCGACGTGAATCGGATTTTGCAGAAGTTGATGGACAAAAAAAAAAAAAGAAAACACTTCATGGCAATTGTTGGGCAAAAAGCAGAAAAGGTGTCCAACCTTAAAATGTTTCAGTGCACTAGGAGAAAAATAAAAACTTACGAAACTACCACAGTCAGCGAACACAATTGTCAAGCTGACAAGTCTCCCTGACTTGCTTCTCACACACACGCACACACACCAGCCAGAATGCAAGCTTCAGTTGTGCGCAAGCCGAGGCCTGTTTCAATCAGGTATAAAAAAAAGAGGGAAAAAAAAGTTTGTAATAAAAAGAAAACCTGTCTGGCTCATGCCAGAGTACACAGTAACACAAAAACAGTTAAATGCACTGATATAAGCTCCTGAATGAGGTATGAATGTCCAGGCATGGTATAGTCACTTTGCCGTTTTCCGGGTTTATTACTGAGGTTGTAGCAGCTGAGGTGTGTGGAAGAACTGCCATGGGGCCACTTCACCGTTCTTTTTTGTTGCTGTTGCAGAAAGCAAAACACGTCTTTAAAAAGGTTTATTTCAACTAAGTAAGGTTATGGGAACCCCTCTCGGTGAATAAGTGGCCGCTAGGTGGCATAAAGGGGGGGAAAAAAAGAGCAGTACCGACTTTCAGTTTTATTATTAAACTGCTTACGGCTGTACAGTTTGTATTTCAGTTGACTGGGCGTGTGCGCAGGCAAAACCGTCTGTAAAAAGCTCCCTGAACAAACGACACTGATACTCTCAACCTGGAACCCTATGCTTTAAAATCGACAACACTTGAAAAGAAGCAGCACACACGTCAATGGTATGAAACTGGAAAGTAACAAAAAAATAATAAATCAAATAAAACTAGAGAACTAGTTGTCTCCCCCACTACACATCAATGACAGAGGAGGCCGTTGATAAGCTAAAACCTAAAATGTCCTACATGAAGGTTCTTTCTACTTGTGAGCAGTGACACCGGGAAGGAGGGGTAAAAAAAACAAAGTATACATACCACCAGTGAACTATTCTCATCCTAAACACTGAAGCTCAACTCCATCTAGCGTACGATGCGAAGGATAGGTTAAACCACATCACACAAACACAAGTATTGGTAAAAATCACCTTTGTCCTGTACAAAACAGAGAAACTACAGGCCCTACCATCTCAGACGCAGGTATAATCAGTAAGCAATATTGAGTAAATAGAAAACAAACAAACAAAAAAAGAGACTACAAACCATCTTTCAGCATTAAAGAAAATACACTAGCCCACCTTCTCCAATATAAAAGACTCGTGATATCATGACATGGAGAAAAAGGCTGTCGTCCGTCATGTGAGACTTAGATCTAGGCTTGCGCAAGGTCCAACGTTTTCATCCAGTGCTGTTGCATGAGAAATGTACTGTGTTGGCCCTCACTTGAGCCGAGGGCCCTGTCGGTAATAGTGGCCATGAAAGTGGCACCGGTGTTGGAGATACAGTCCAGTTATGGTTAACAGTAAGTCAGTATGTTGAGTGAGGTAACATGCGTTGTTGGTATTACTGGTCCTCTTCCTCCTCTTCTTCTTCTTCCTGCTCCGATGACTCCTGTGATGCCTTCTCTTCCTTATCCTAAAATGGGACGGGTGGGGGAAGAAAAAAGAAAACACTTCAGTCTGTGCTCAAAAGAAATGCTGACTCAAGTTTCAACATGTCTTTCTTATGAGAGGATCAATGTCTTTCCTAAATCTTGATTAACAAAACTGTGGCGTGAAGGCGACCAGGGGAGGGGCCAGTGACTCATGATGGTGGACTGATGAGTCACAATGAAGCATCCAGCTTGCTTCACTCCCAACTGGCTCTTTTCATTCATAAAAATAAGTGCGGGGTAACTACGGGTCATTTCTCCATGTGACTAATGTGATCCAGGCGCCTCCACTACTCGTGCACATAACACACTTTTACTACAAAACCACATCAACTTCCTTGATGGGAGCAACATGCTCCTGGCGTGCTGGTGTCAACTTTTATGTCGCTATAGAAAACAGAGATGCTCACGTGGTGGTTTAACTAAAATAAACAGATGTTTTTTTCAGGGCGGGGGGAGCTACATTATTACATTTATTTCCTGTGTTCTGACGAGCAAACTTTCACGGTAAGGAAACTGGTTGACAACTGTCATCAAAAGCGACAACAAATTTGGGATATTGCAATAAAGAATCAAAACGAGCCCTGTGGCATTTGTATTTGAGCAACAACTGTCCAATGCATGTGACTGACCTTTAACCTATTTCACCATAATTGAGTCAGAGAGTCAAACTTGGATTGCTACTTTTATAAATCACCCAGCCAATTCCAAGACAAGCAGCAGCGATTGTCATCAGTCAAAGTCAAAATACTGGGAGAAAAAAGTGACTCATCTTGAAGGATTTTGGCACACATGTGTGGAAAATATTGTGCCCTTAATTCACCATACTAATTCAAATTCAGTTTAGGGCAGAAAGATTCCTACCTCCTTCTTGGGTCTGCCTCTGCGTTTCGCACCAGGAGCAGATTCTGCCTTTGTCTTGGGGGAGAGGAGGAAAAAAAAGTGTGATTATATCAAGTGCAGTGCAAAATTTTAGTTTCAGTGCCATCATGCAAAATGTATCCGCCCCATATTATGGTTTACCATAATAAAATGAAAACGTCGGGAAAAAAGGGTTTGCAGTAAGAGCCTGGAAATAAAAACAACAGTTATCTTGTTTGTCTCAAAGGGCAATGTGCATTTGAAACGCGAAACAATTTGTTTAGCGACTGGCTGCCTCCAGGTGGCAGCAGAGCTCGAGCAAGGCGATATGGACAAGGGGCACTGGGTTCATTGGCTATTATCTGGAAGGCCAACAGGAACTGCACACAGGGCACTCCAGTTCGCTGGCCACCTGGTCTGTGGCTCAAAGACAGCTGGTGGAAGTGAGCGTGAACATAAACCCTCAGCCACTTGGCCTTCTTTTCTAACCCTATCTCACCAACGCCGGCGTGAGCATTTGCCTTCCCTCACACGTACAGTAGCAGCGAGTACAATGCACATGGGAGTACTAGAGGGTTCAGGGCGAGGGAGAAAATCAGCTGTTGCTATGGAGACAACAGGCTGAGAAGAACTTGGACTGTGTGCCGGGTGGGGGCAGTGGGGTGGTGTTTGATGTCAGGGTGGAAACACTATTGCAGCCTCTGCAGCGACGTCGTCGTTTGCATGACATGCTGCAGGATGCGGCAGGACAGGAAGTACAACGCAAGCATCACTCTGCACTTCCTGTCAAAAAAAAACGCTATTTACAATAGGAAAGCCATGCATGACAATTTTGGACAGGGGACGGGACGGGGGAGAATTGTCAAGCAAACATTTCTGTAAGACATCCTTGATGCCAGGAAATAGTCCAAAATCAGAATTCAAGGGTTGGCTGGCCTTAGTAGGTTCTGGTAATGACGTGGTCATCAAGGCTGAGCTGCGGCTGAAGTCGTTACTTTGCTGCCATGCGATGTGATACAGACATGACAAACTTACTTTGCCCTTGCTGGTGGGCTTGTTTTTGCTGCCCTTGGGTCGTCCTCTGGGCCTCTTGGGAGTTGGGGATCCGCTGGGCTCCTGAGGATCAGGACACTGGTGTTGAGAAAAACAAAAGGGAAAACCACAGTAAATGAGTGATGAATGAGTTGCAAACAATTTACTGTGTGCTAATAAATGTACTGTCAACGACCGCAATGAAACAGACACACCTCAATGTTCCTACACTGTAAAACTTGTCAGTAAAAAGAATCATGCAACCAATACATTTGATTAAAGGGCCATCTCCTTTTGTGTTCTTGTGTCAACCTGCACTGGTGAGCCAGTTTACATAGAATCATCTCCGATTGGATTTCGAGCTTGTTTACTACTGCACCTCTTCGCCACCAAAGCAATTCAATACACTATGCAGCGTGGCGGCCATACGAGCCACTCTCAACCTTGCAATGTCAGCCATTGCATAAGGAGTGGAGGTGGGTCTGAGGGGGTTAAAACTGGTTTGGGGGGTGTTGGGTTACAAGTTCCTGACCAACACAGGAAGTTTGTTGATGGGGGTGTCTACACCTCCCATTAATCATGGCTGAAGCACACATACAAATTGGGATTCATAAGGAGCACCAACAAAATCAAGAGTTGCATTTCATGTGACGCTTGAAATGTGCCACGAGCGTGATACAGTAATGCGACACATTTTTCATAATGCGTGGCTGTGTTGCAATGAACAAACTGATGAGCCATACAAATTTGATGCACTTCTCAGAAAATGTGCAACTAAAAGTTTTAGTTACCTGAGGAAGCTTGCGAGGTCTTCCACGCCCCCTCTTCTCTGCCGTCTCCTTCTCCTTGGATGACACTGTCCCCTTGTCGCTCATATTTACTTCTCACACCTAGGAAATAGAAACCACACCTGGTCAGAGTCGCTTGAGAGACAACGCTCTGAGCTCACATAAATGGGGGTGGGGGATGGGTGGTGGTGGAGGAGAAGGGGGAGGAGGAGCGGCAAAAAAGGCGCAAAACCACGACGCATCCAGCACTTAAATCAACGCTTCCAAGAGGCTCTATTCCAGTCCCGCGTGCGCCCCAAAGAGCAGACCACGCCGCCTCGCGGATCTCTGTCGGACCGGTTTGCATGGTGCAGCCATGGGCTACAGGCCTCACACTTGCGTTCAAATACCGCCCGCATCCCGAGGCCCATGCATGCTTGCACCCCACTGGTACACACATGCACACAATAACCCGGGAAAGCTCGGTGTGCGGTTTCGGTGTCGTACCCTTCTCACATTTACGCACAAATATAAAGAATAAAATCCCCAAAATGAGCCGGAGAGTGCGAACGAGCCAGCGAAGTGCGCGTCGTGTTTTGTGGCGGGTCAACAGCATACAATAGGCGGCTTCTCATTGAAAGCATGTCGCTTCCTCTCACTGGAGCAATTGCAAACCGT